TGGCTTAGGAAGGCCACCAAAAATTCTGAAATTTCCATCCCCAACTATAACATTTTCCGTCTAGATAGAACTGCCAAAGGGGGTGGAGTTGCAATCTACTGTAGAGATAGCCTGCAGAGCTCTATCATACTATCCAGGTCTGTGGCCAAACAGTTTGAGCTTCTACTTCTAAAAATCCACCTTTCCAGAAATAAGTCTCTCACTGTTGCCGCTTGCTACAGACCCCCCTCAGCCCCCAGCTGTGCCCTGGACACCATATGTGAATTGATTGCCCCCCATTTATCCTCAGAGTTCGTACTGCTTGGTGACGTAAATTGGGATATGCTTAACACCCCGGCCATCCTGCAATCCAAACTAGATGCCCTCAATCTCACACAAATTATCAACGAACCTACCAGGTACAAGCCTAAATCTGTAAACATGGGTACCCTCATAGATATCATCCTGACTAACTTACCCTCTAAATACACCTCTGCTGTCTTCAACCAGGATCTCAGCGATCACTGCCTTATTGCCTGCGTCCGTAACGGGTCCACGGTCAAACGACCACCCCTCATCACTGTCAAACGCTCCCTAAAACACTTTAGCGAGCAGGCCTTCCTAATTGACCTGGCCCAGGTATCCTGGATGGATATAGATCTCATTCCGTCAGTAGAGGATGCCTGGTTGTTCTTTAAAAGTAATTTCCTCTCAATCTTAAATAAAATGCCCCATTCAAAAAATACAGATCTAAGAACAGATATAGCCCCTGGTTCTCCTCAGACTTGACTGCCCTTGACCAGCACAAAAACATCCTGTGGCGTACTGCATTAGCATCAAATAGCCCCCGCGATATGCAACTTTTCAGGGAAGTTAGGAACCAATATACACAAGCAGTCAGGAAAGCAAAGGCTAACTTTTTCAAACAGAAATTTGCATCCTGTAGCACTAACTCCAAAAAGTTTTGGGACACTGTAAAGTCCATGGAGAATAAGAGCACTTCTTCCCAGCTGCCCACTGCACTGAGGCTAGGAAACACTATCACCACCGATAAATCTACAATAATCGAGAATTTCAAAAAGCATTTTGCTACGGCTGGCCATGCTTTCCACCTGGCTACCACTACCCCGGCCACCAACTCTGCACCCTCCGCTGCAACTTGCCCATGCCCCCCCGCTTCTCCTTCACACAAATTCAGACAGCTGATGTTCTGAAAGAGCTGCAAAATCTGGACCCCTACAAATCAGCTGGGCTAGACAATCTGGACCCTTTCTTTCTAAAACTAGCTGCCGAAATTGTCGCAACCCCTATTACTAGCCTGTTCAACCTCTCTTTCGTAACGTCTGAGATCCCCAGAGATTGGAAAGCTGCCGCGGTCATCCCCCTCTTCAAAGGGGGTGACACTTCAGATCCAAACTGTTACAGACCTATATCCATCCTGCCCTGCCTTTCGAAAGTATTTGAAAGCCAAGTTAACAAACAGATCACCGACCATTTCGAATCCCACCGTACCTTCTCCGTTATGCAATCCGGTTTCCGAGCTGGTCATGGGTGCACTTCAGCCACGCTCAAGGTCCTAAACGATATTATAACCGTGATCGATAATAGACAGTACTGTGCAGCCGTCTTCATCGACCTGGCCAAGGCTTTCGACTCTGTCAACCACCGCATTCTTATTGGCAGACTAAATAGCCTTGGTTTCTCAAATGACTGCCTCGCCTTGTTCACCAACTACTTCTCAGATAGAGTTCAATGTGTCAAATCGGAGGGCCTGATGTCTGGACCTATGGCAGTCTCTATGGGGGTGCCACAGGGTTCAATTCTTGGGCCGACTCTTTTCTCTGTGTATATCAATGATGTCGCTCTTGCTGCTGGTGACTCTCAGATCCACCTCTACGCAGACGACACCATTTTGTATACATCTGGCCCTTCATTGGACACTGTGTTAACAAACCTCCAAACAAGCTTCAATGCCATACAACACTCCTTCAGTAGCCTCCAACTGCTCTTAAACACCAGTAAAACTAAATGCATGCTCTTCAATTGAACGCTGCTGGCACCCGCCCACCCGACTAGAATCACTACTCTCGACGGGTCTGACCTAGAGTATGTGGACAACTACAAATACCTAGGTGTCTGGTTAGACTGTAAACTCCTTCCAGACTCACATTAAGAATCTCCAATCCAAAGTTAAATCTAGAATCGGCTTCCTATTTCGCAACAAAGCCTCCTTCACTCATGCTGCCAAACATGCCCTCGTAAAACTGACTATCCTACCGATCCTTGACTTCGGCAATGTCATTTACAAAATAGCAAATTGGATGTAGTCTATCACAGTGCCATCCGTTTTGTCTCCAAAGCCCCATACACTACCCACCACTGTGACCTGTACGCTCTTGTTGGCTGTACGCTCTTGTTGGTTCGTCGTCAAACCCACTGGCTCCAGGCCATCTATAAATCACTGCTAGGCAAATCCCAACCTTATCTTAGCTCATTGGTCACCATAGCAGCACCCACCCGTAGTCTGCGCTCCAGCAGGTATATCTCACTGGTCATCCCCAAAGCCAACACCTCCTTTGGCTACCATTCCTTCCAGTTCTCTGCTGCCAATGACTGGAACGAATTGCAAAAATCTCTGAAGCTGGAGACTCTTATCTCCCTCACTAACTTTAAGCATCAGTTGTCAGAGCACCTTACCGATCACTGCACCTGTACACAGCCCATCTGAAATTAGCCCACCCAACTACCTCATCCCTATATTGTTATTTATTTTGCTCTTTTGCACCCCAGTATCTCTATTTGCACATAATCTCTTGCACATCTAGCATTCCAGTGTTAATACTAATTGTAATTATTTTGCACTATAGCCTATTTATTGCCTTACCTCCATAACTTGCTACATTTGCACACACTGTATATATATTTTCTGTTGTATTTTTTGACTTTATGTTTTTTTACCCCATATGTAACTCTGTGTTGTTTTTATCGCACTGCTTTGCTTTATCTTGGCCAGGTCGCAGTTGTAAATGAGAACTTGTTCTCAACTTGCTTACCTGGTTAAATAAAGGTGAAATAAAAAAATTAAAATATATATATATACACTTCTGCAACATGCATTTTTGGAACAAAAGCTCTAACAGGATAACTTACACTTCCTAACTTGACCTTGTCGAGCAAAGACGCTACATCAAAACTCATCAGGACAGACAAAGTCTTCTCCGTTTCCCCACGCTCTCCACCAGATCTGCGTTGCAACAAACGGCGGGCGTCACAGACACCGGGAATTTTCCATTTCAACTGTTCCTCCTCAACCCTTAATGCCACCCCCGTTATCACTCCTTTCAACGGCGCCCTGCTCTGGAGAGCAAAGCAAGTCACATTTCTTGTTGCGTGATTGGGAGCGCCTGGACTGAAGAAACACAATAAATCATCACTAATCCACTCCGAGTTACACTCACCAACTCAATAGTCCCCAACCTCTTCTCCACCCAATCTGACAACACATATGGATCAGCCAAAATGCAAGGATACATTCCCACTTGGCCAGAATCATCCTTTTCATCCTCAGGAAGAAGCTTGAACTCGGCGGTCCTTACAGCAGGTAATACATCCATACTCTCATCAGGTTCCATCTCTGAGCTACTAGAGCACGTATCCATCCTTTTGCACTTGACACCAACCCTCCTCACCACACTGCTTCCCTCTACACTTAGATAGGAGTATTTGCCAAACTGCACTTCCGTCTCCCAGCAGTTGCCTCTCTTCATCTGTCCTGTGAAGCTTTGCTTTCACACAGTGTTTCTGCATGCTATGTGGTGTCCACTTGGTCTTAAATCCAGCCGGCTGACATCAGTGTCCTAAAGCACACCGATGCCTGTTTTTGTATCACAGTGAAATGATAAAACTGGGGGGAGGGACAAAAATGCAATTTCAGAAAGTGTGTGTGTGGGGGGGGGGGGGGGGGGGGGGGGGGAGTTCATGTCCCCCCTGTCCCCAGTAAAAGTTGCGCCTCTGCCTATAGGGCGCAAAATTGATGGGACAATGGCTGGCAAGTGAGCTGTGTCACATACGCCTAAAATAACATTGCGGGACTGCAGTTGAGTTTGGGACCAGTTCTTGTAGTAGCGGGGGGGGAGTCGGACAGAAAGCCAGCGGGTGCTGGCGGGGTGTGGTATGAAAAGCTGCTGGTGTGGGCGGGAGCGAGATGAAGAAATCAGTCCCGCACAGACCTCTACCTCCAAATACACATATCATTGCAATGACACCATATACCAATTCTACATCGACAATGAAAGCAACACCTTTTCCACAACCAGTCAATAACTTCATTACTTCATTACCTTCAAATGTGACAACTCAAAATCAAGGTACAAACACAACAATCCTGTCACAAGGTAACAACTTAACTGCTCCACCAACTAATACCAGTACAATTATTCATGTTTGTATAATAACTCAACCAAGTAAGTTCTTAACCTTTTCCTCAACAGCACCTGACACTGCAACAACTGGTTCTACGACCACTACCACAACACTGGCCCCTCCAACAACAACCACAGCTGATCCTACAACAACCACAGCTGATCCCTTAACAACCACAGCTGATCCCTTAACAGCCACATCTGATCCCACAACAAACACAGCTGCTCCTACAACAACCACAGCTGCTCCCAAAACAACCACAGCTGATCCCACAACTACCACAGCTGATCCCACAACTACCACAGCTATTCCAACAACAACCACAGCTGATCCAACAACAACCATAGCTGATCCTACAACAACCACAGATGGTCCCACAACAACCACAGCTGATCCCACAACAACCACAGCTGATACCTTAACAACCACAGCTGATCCCACAACAACCACAGCTGATCCCTTAACAACCACATCTGATCCAACAACAAACACAGCTGCTCCTACAACAACTACAGCTGCTCCCACAACAACCACAGCTGATCCCACAATTACCACAGCTGTTCCAACAACAACCACAGCTGATCCAACAACAACCACAGATGGTCCCACAACAACCACAGCTGAACCCACAACAACCACAGCTGCTCCCACAACAACCACAGCTGATCCCACAACTACCACAGCTGTTCCAACAACAACCACAGCTGATCCAACAACAACCACAGCTGCTCCCACAACAACCACAACTGTTCCCACAACAACCACATCTACTCCAACAGCAATCACAGCTGCTCCCACAACAACCGCAGCTGCTACCACAACAACCTCAGCTACTCCCACAACAACCACAGCTGCTCCCTCAGCAAATACAGCTACTCCCACTACAAACACAGCTGTTCCAAAAACAACAGCTGATCCTATAACAACCACAGCTGATCCCACAACAACCACAGCTGCTCCCACAACAACCACAGCTGATCCCACAACAACCACAGCTGATCCCACAACAACCACAGCTGATCCCTTAAAAACAACAGCTGATCCCACAACAAACACAGCTGCTCCTACAACAACCACAGCTGCTCCCACAACTACCACAGCTGTTCAAACAACAACCACAGCTGAACCCACAACAACCACAGCTGCTCCCACAACAACCACAGCTGATCCCAAAACTACCACAGCTGTTCCAACAACAACCATAGCTGATCCCACAACAACCACAGCTGCTCCCACAACAACCACAGATTATCCCACAACTACCACAGCTGTTCCAACAACAACCACAGCTGATCCAACAACAACCACAGCTGCTCCCACAACAACCACAGCTGTTCCCACAACAACCACATCTACTCCCACAGCAACCACAGCTGCTCCCACAACAACCTCAGCTACTCCCACAACAACCACAGCTGCTCCCTCAGCAACTACAGCTACTCCCACTACAACCACAGCTGTTCCAAAAACAACAGATGATCCTTTAACAACCACAGCTGATCCCACAACAACCACAGCTGCTCCCACAACAATCACAGCTTCTCCCACAACAACCACAGCTTCTCCCACAACAACCAAATATTCTCCTACAACAACCACAGATGGTCCCACAACAACCACAGCTGATCCCACAACAACCACAGCTGTTCCCACAACAACCACAGCTGATCCCACAACCACCTCAGCTGCTCCCACAACAACCACAGCTGATCCCACATTTACCACAGCTGTTCCAACAACAACCACAGCTGATCCCACAACCACCTCAGCTGCTCCCACAACAACCACAGCTGATCCCACAACAACCACAGCTGATCCCACATTTACCACAGCTGTTCCAACAACAACCACAGCTGATCCAACAACAACCATAGCTGATCCCACAACAACCATAGCTGATCCCACAACAACCACAGATGGTCCCACAACAACCAAAGATGGTCCCACAACAACCACAGCTGCTCCCACAACAACCACAGCTGTTCCCACAACAACCACATATACTCCCACAGCAACCACAGCTGCTCCCACAACAACCGCAGCTGCTCCCACAACAACCTCAGCTACTCCCACAACAACCACAGCTGCACCCTCAGTAACTACAGCTACTCCCACTACAACCACAGCTGTTCCCTCAGCAAATACAGCTACTCCCACAACAACCACAGCTGCTCCCTCAGCAAATACAGCTACTCCCACTACAAACACAGCTGTTCCAAAAACAACAGCTGATCCTATAACAACCACAGCTGATCCCACAACAACCACAGCTGCTCCCACAACAACCACAGCTGATCCCACAACAACCACAGCTGATCCCACAACAACCACAGCTGATCCCTTAAAAACAACAGCTGATCCCACAACAAACACAGCTGCTCCTACAACAACCACAGCTGCTCCCACAACTACCACAGCTGTTCAAACAACAACCACAGCTGAACCCACAACAACCACAGCTGCTCCCACAACAACCACAGCTGATCCCAAAACTACCACAGCTGTTCCAACAACAACCATAGCTGATCCCACAACAACCACAGCTTGCTCCCACAACCAACCACAAGATTATCCCACAACTACCACAGCTGTTCCAACAACAACCACAGCTGATCCAACAACACCCACAGCTGCTCCCACAAACAACCACAGCTGTTTCCCACAATAACCACATCTACTCCCACAGCAACCACCAGCTGCTCCCACAACAACCTCAGCTACTCCCACCAACAACCACAGCTGCTGCGCTCCCTCAGCAAACTACAGCTACTCCCACTACAACCACAGCTGTTCCAAAAACAACAGCTGATCCTTTAACAACCACAGCTGATCCACAACAACACAGCTGCTCCCACAACAATCAAGCTTCTCCCAACAACCACAGCTTGCTCCCACACAACCAAATATTCTCCTACAACAACCACAGATGGTCCCACAACAACCACAGCTGATCCCACAACAACCACAGATGTTCCCACAACAACCACAGCTGATCCCACAACAACCACAGCTGATCCCACATTTACCACAGCTGTTCCAACAACAACCACAGCTGATCCAACAACAACCATAGCTGATCCCACAACAACCATAGCTGATCCCACAACAACCACAGCTGATCCCACATTTACCACAGCTGTTCCAACAACAACCACAGCTGATCCAACAACAACCACAGCTGATCCCACAACAACCACAGCTGCTCCCACAACAATCACAGCTTCTCCCACAACAACCACAGCTTCTCCCACAACAACCAAATATTCTCCTACAACAACCACAGATGGTCCCACAACAACCACAGCTGATCCCACAACAACCACAGCTGTTCCCACAACAACCACAGCTGATCCCACAACCACTCAGCTACTCCCACAACAACCACAGCTGATCCCACAACAACCACAGCTGATCCCACATTTACCACAGGGCTTTTCCAACAACAACCACAGCTGATCCCAACAACAAACCATAGCTGATCCCACAAACAACCATAGCTGATCCCACAACAACCACAGATGGGTCCCACAACAACCAAAGATGGTCCCACACACAACCACAGCTGCCTCCCACAACACCACAGCTGTTCCACAACAACCACATTACTCCCCACAGCAACCACAGCTGCTCCCACAACAACCGCAGCTGCTCCCACAACAACCTCAGCTACTCCCACAACAACCACAGCTGCTCCCTCAGCAACTACAGCTACTCCCACTACAACCACAGCTGTTCCAAAAACAACAGCTGATCCTATAACAACCACAGCTGATCCCACAACAACCACAGCTGCTCCCACAACAACCACATCTGCTCTAACAACCACCACAGATGCTCCCACAACAACCACAGATGTTCCCACAACAACCAGATCTGCCCCCACAACAACCACAGCTTCTCCTACAACAACCACAGCTGCTCCAACCAAACAACCAAAGATGGTCCCACAACAACCACAGCTGCTCCCACAACAACCACAGCTTATCCCACAACTACCACAGCTGTTCCAACAACAACCACAGCTGATCCAACAACAACCACAGCTGCTCCCACAACAACCACAGCTGTTCCCACAACAACCACATCTACTCCCACAGCAACCACAGCTGCTACCAACAACAACCGCACTGCTCCCACAACGACCTCAGCTACTCCCACAACAACCACAGCTGCTCCCTCAGCAACTACAGCTACTCCCACTACAACCACAGCTGTTCCCTCAGCAACTACAGCTACTCCCACAACAACCACAGCTGCTCCCTCAGCAAATACAGCTACTCCCACTACAAACACAGCTGTTCCAAAAACAACAGCTGATCCTATAACAACCACAGCTGATCCCACAACAACCACAGCTTGCTCCCACAACAACCACACATGCTTATCCCCACCCACCACATCTGACCCACAACAACCACAGCTTTATCCTTTAAAAACAACATCTGATCCCCACCCAACCACAGCTCCCTACAACAACCACAGCTGCTTCCCACAACTACCACAGCTGTTCACAAACAACAACCACAGCTGAACCCACAACAACCACATCTGCTCCGCACAACAATCCACAGCTGACCCAAACGACCACAAGCTGTTCCAACAACAAAACCATAGCTTGTCCCACACAACCAGGCTCCCTCACAACAACCCCGAGATTATCCACAACTACCACACTTTTTTGCCAACAACAAACCACAGCTTTATCAAACATAAACCACAACACAGCTGCTCCACAACAACCACAGCTGTTTCCCACACCACCGTGCATCTACTCCACAACAACCACAGCTGCTCCCACAACAACCCTCCTACTCCCCAACAACCACAGCTGCCTCCCTCAGTCAACTACAGCTACTACAGCTTTACTCCCTCCCCTAACCACCACAGCTGTTCCAAAACAACATCTGATCCTTTAACACACAGCTTATCCCACAACAACCAAGCTGCTCCCACAACAAGACAGCTTCCTCTCCCCACAACAACACAAGCTGCTGCTCCCCACAACAAACCAAATATCTTCCTACAACAACCACAGATGGTCCCACAACAACCACAAGCTGATCCACAACAACCCAGATGTTCCACAACAACCACAGCTGATCCCACCACAACCCACAGCTGATCCACATTTACCACAGCGTTTCCAACAACAACCACAGCTGAGCCAACAAAACATAGCTGATCCACAACCACCATTAGCTGATCCCAAAAAAACCACCACAGCTGAATCACCCCACAGTTACCACAGCTGTTTCCAACAACAACCACAGCTGATCCGAACAACACCCATAAGCTGAATCCACAACAACCATAGCTAGTCCGCACAAAACCACAGCTGTGTCCCACAAAACCAAAGATGGTCCAAACCACAACCACAGCTGCTCCCAGACAACAACCACATCTGTTCCCACAACCCCACATATACTCCACAGCAACCACAGCTGCTCCCACACAACAACTCGCAGCTTGCTCCACAACAACCTCAGCTACTCCCACAACAACCACACATCTGCTCCCTCAGCAATACAGCTACTCCCACTCTACAACCACACTGTTCCAAAAACAAACACTGATCCTATAACAACCACAGCTGATGATCCCACACCAACCACAGCTGCTCCAAACAAACCACATCTGCTCGAACACCACCACAGATGCTCCCACAACAACCCGATGTTCCCACACAACAGATCTGCCCCCACAACACCACAGCTTCTCCTCACACCCACATCTGCTCCCCAACAACCACAAGCTGCTTCCCACAACAACAAACAAGCCATCCCCCAACACCCACAGCTGCTCCAACAACAACCAAAGTGGTCCCACAACCACCACAGCTTGCTCCCACAACAACCACAGCTTATCCCACAACTAACCACAGCTGTTCCAACAACACCACATCTGATCCACAACAACCACAGCTGCTCCCACACAACCCAGCCTGTTTCCCACAACAACCACTCTACTCCCCCATCAACCATCCAGCGCTACCACCGACCACAACCGCACTGCTCCCACAACAACCTCAGCTACTCCCACAAACAACCACAGCTGCCTCCCTCAGCAACTACAACAACAGCTACTGCTACTCCCACTACAACTACAGCTGTTCCAAAAACACAGCTGATCCTTTAACACCATACTGATCCCACAAACAACCACAGCTGCTCCCACAACAACCACATCTTCTATCTTTTCTCCAACAACAACCAACAAATGCGTCCGCCACAACAACACAGATGTTCCCACAACCACCAGATCTTCCCCCACAACAACCACAGCTTCTCCTACAACAACTCACATCTGGCTCCCACAACAACCACAGTCTGCGCCCACAACAACAAACCAGCCATTACAAACAACAAACCACCCACAACTGTTTCAATAACAACCACAATTTTCCTAAAACATCCACCAACTTCCAACAACAACCACAGCTTTCCAACACAACCCCACCTGCCCCAAACAACAACCACAGCTTCTCCCACAACAACCAAATCTGCTCCCAAAACAACCAAAAGCTCTTCACCAACCACCACACTGCTCCCCCAAACAACCACACTTCCCCAAACAACAACCAAAACCTTTCCACCACAACACCACAATCCCTTTCCAACACAACCACAGCTTCTCCCCAACACCACCTCTGCCCCCCACAACCACCCCCCCTCCAACAACACCCCCCCCTCTTCCCACACCCCACCCGTGCTCCCCACACCACATTTTTTTCCCAACAACAACCACAATTTGCTCCCACAACCCCCCAAACTTCTCCCAAACAACCACATCTCTCCCACAATAACCCACTGTTGCTCCCACACAACACAGCTGCTCCCACAACCACCACAGCTTTCTGACCACATTTTACAACTGGTTTGTCAACCATTACTACAACAAACACCGGCCCCTCCACACCAAAAGTTAAGTTTGGAGTTTCAAATTGGAGAAAAACTTTACCCCAGACTTGAATAATGCGTCTTCACCAGAGTTCCAAGCATTAGCAACAACTGTGGCTAAAGCGGTAAATACTCTTTATTTTCCCCCCCCGTTTAATGTCAACTTTTAGTTCCCTAACAAAAAAGGCTTAGTCCCAGTCAATTCAGTAAAACAAAGATCATGCTATTAATCAGGAATTATGGTAAAACTTTTTTTTAAGGTCTGCTCAATGACTGCTACCACTGAATTTAAATGATTGATTGATATATTGATTTAAAGTAGTTTTACAAGTAATGGAGAAATATTTCGAATGATAAGCCAACCTTTAATTAGTGTAAATTACTTTAAACCATGATTGTAAATCTTTTTCAATGCAGTACCTTCTCAATGTCCTCAGGACGTATTAATTTATAAAATATGATTTTTCATATTATTTTTACAAAGCTGGACAATGTGTATAAAAAAATATGGATCCAGTTTCAATCGCATAGAGGTTTCTAGGTTTCAGGTATTTGTAATTCTAAAGCATTATTTTTTTACATTTGGGCCCTTCGTGGGTTTCTCTTTTAAGGTAGAAGTCATTTGATTAATTTTTCATAGTTGTCATAGAATTGAAACATGAATCTGATCTAATGATGAATCATAAATTTAAAATAATATTGTGGTTGTTTCCCCGTCAAGGTTCAGTTGTGGTAACACTAAGCTGGGATTTACATATCATTCAGTCCCTGAGACCGTGATGTGGCTGCCCAAAGATGTTAGGCAATTTCAAGCAAAGCTCTAATTTTCTCTCTCCCCCGTGAAACACAGCCTCTGTTGTGGCGACAAGTAGACTCAATATTATTTGCACAGTTGTCATCACAGTTTACTGTTCTACTTTGTTTAACTACAGTTATTATAGATTAATATGCAGGATGGTTCAATTT